TAACTCCTAATGTTTCAATAGTTACCCACAATGTGGTGATAAGTGCTGATACAGTGACTAAATTATAACTCCTAATGTTTCCATATATACCCACAATGAGGTGATAAGTTTTGATATAGTGACTAAATTATCACTATATATGTTTCCATATATACCCACAATGTGGTGATAAAACAATATCAGGCGATGCAGATGCTCAAATAGAGTTAGGTATTCCTACACGATACATGTCACAAGTCATGTCTTTAGTCAAATCCAGAAGTTGTTTAGGTCACAAAAAGGATTCAAGATATAATTAAGAAGTTTGTCTTTATCATCGTAGACACTGAACTCTATAGTTATAAAACAAATTATGAAGAAAACCAAACATATGTCAGCGTTAGTAGGACCCCCTCCTATAGAAAACACGATGTAACACATTTGAATATAGGATACAACTATCGAGAAAAACCTGATACCGGCTCCGGAATAGTATGACATGTTAACTCTACAAGCAGAGGAATGATGCTGGCAACGGAGTTCCCAACTTCCCATATTAACTCAATTCAATAATTCTTTCTAAAATCGACTTGAATGGAGTTCACATTTTATAATTATTTGTTACATCATCCTTTCATTGTTTCTATTCTTACTTTGTTGCAATATAACAATTGTCCTTGTGTTATAGCTGCTTGGACTGATATCTTTGTTGTTTCTATAAAATATTTCCGTTGCAGCCTTCGTTGATTTCATCGTAACAATGTTATTTTCACTGTTTCTGCAGTTGCTTGTGTTTTTGTTATACTTATATATTTACAGATGCACATGTATTTACTTAAAATGCAGCTTTCATTGTTTACATTGTTGATCAAAATGTTGTCATGGTTACGCACTATGATGATTCTTTCTATCTAACTGTTTCCTTATAAATTCCATGTTTTATATTCCTCCCTTCCTAAGTTACTTAAAATCAATTGTAATTCTTTAGTTGCTTAAACTATGATTTTCATTATTTTCGTAATTAACAACAGTATTTAAGAAATGTTGTCTGTGGTTAATTACATCTTGGGCTAAGTTACATACAATGGGATTTTAGTGTATCCATAGTTACTTATGACTTGTTTTGATCTTGTGTTATTTTGTCTGTTACCGTTACTTCCCTCAGTTTGGTTGGTAGGGCGTAAGAATTGTTCCTGCTGCCCCCATTGCGCGACTAAATTTGGGATCTTATTTTTTCTCTTCTTTCTAAACGTCTTTATTCTTCCTAATGTCTCCCTTGACAATGCCTCACTTTTGGCCTTTAGTTGAGCGTTCGCCCCTGTAAGGAATGCTTTGGGTTCTGTCCCCTGGCCGAGACATACCAGAGTCTGTAAAAATGGTAGTTTCTACTCCTGCTTAACGCTCAGCAATTTAGTAGTGGGACGACTGGTTCGTCCGTTGTCAGTGTAATGTGACCGGGTGGAGTGTCCTGCTGGGTGTCTTCGGCAGAATGTTTCAGTGAGGTAGCACTATAAAGTCGGCAACAGTTACGTATACGCGCTACCACAAGGAGACAAACACGAACATATCGCAGCCTCCCAAAACACATACGCATGCATCTTGCACACAGGGAAGCCGTCCTTAAATGACCATAGCTGTTGATAGGACGTTAAACAATACTAAACCAAACCAAACCAAACCATCTTTGCTAATTGTTTTGAAAGTAACTCCAAATGTGATTGTTCATTAATACATCTACTTCAAGCGCTATTTAACTGTACGATATTTGCATAAAATTTAATCCATTGTTTCCGTAACAGTTTTACCCATGTAACCTTAATGTTAACTTTCCTTTATAGTAACATACCATCCTGTCCTGCGTATGGAGTTAATATGTTATTGTTGATTCGCTTTCCAGGAGACTGTTGTGTGCAATTATATGTTTAAATAGATGCGTCCGTCATGTTGGCTAATAAACTGGGTTTTTTTGCTTGAGGGGATTCCCTCTAAATTGACAAAGTGTAACGGTTATCAAAGACTTTTAACTGTGACCTTTCAGCGTCGATCATTGTTACACTGTATTGATTAGATCGTTTCCATAATGTGATTGCATTGCCTGAATTAAATGGTCTACATTTTACTTGTATTGCCTGCATTGGGAATTGTTTACATTTTTAGGTCACCTGAGACAAAGTCTCAAGTGACCTATTGCGATCGCCTTTTGTCCGTCGTCGTCCTTCGTCCGTCGTCCGTCGTGCGTCCGTAAACAATTTACATTTTCGACTTCTTCTCCAAAACCCCTGAACCAATTTCAATGAAATTTTGCTGGGACCTTCCATGTACAAAGGTCAACAAAAATAGTTGCCGGTTTAGTCCTAGCCCCCAGGGGCCTGAGGGGCGGGGCCAAAAAGGGTCAAATTGACTAAAATTTCAAAAATCTTCTTCTCAAAAACCCCTGAACCAATTTCAATGAAATTTTGCAGGGACCTTCTATGGACAAAGGTCACCAATAATAGTTGCCGGTTTAGGCCCAAGCCCCCAGGGGCCTGAGGGGCGGGGCCAAAAAGGGTTGAATTGACTGAAATTTCAAAAATCTTCTTCTCAAGACCCAGATATGGTAGAATCAAATACTCTTCATAGATGGAAGGGTCTTAAGGTGCTTTACCAAAATTGTGAATTTCATGACCCTGGGGTCTCACGTTTCCCTCTGGGGAGGGGGTAAACTTTACTATAGTTTATATAGGGAAATCACATTTTGGACCAACATTTGTTTAATTTCCATTGGAAGTAATTTAATTTGGGTTAGCATTATCAGTATTAGGTAGCAGTTTGATAGTATGCACCTATGAGCCCTGACTGACCCCCAGGGGCTGATTGGTGGGGCCAAAAAGGGTCGAATTTACTGAAACTTCAAAAATCTTCTTTTCAAGATCCCAGATATGGTAGAATCAAATACTCTTCATAGATGGAAGGGTCTTAAGGTGCTTTACCAAAATTGTGAATTTCTTGACCCTGGGGTCTCATGTTTCCCCCTGGGGAGGGGGTAAACTTTACTATAGTTTATATAGGGAAATCACATTTTGGACCAACATTTGTTTAATTTCCATTGGAAGTAATTCAATTTGTGTTAGCATTATCAGTATTAGGTAGCAGTTTGATAGTATGCACCTATGAGCCCTGACTGACCCCCAGGGGCTGATTGGTGGGGCCAAAAAGGGTCGAATTTACTGAAACTTCAAAAATCTTCTTTTCAAGATCCCAGATATGGTAGAATCAAATACTCTTCATAGATGGAAGGGTCTTAAGGTTTATGACCCTTGGGTCTCACGTTTTCCCCCTGGGGAAGGAGGGGGGGGGGGGCAAAATTTTTTATGGTTTATAATGGCAAATGATACTTTGAATATTACATGTTAATAACTTGATTGGAATTATAACCTTGAATTGACAGTTTGATACTTTGAAAATTTTGAGCCAGCCCTACCCCCAAGGGCTGTAGGGTGGGGCTCCAAGGAGTCAGTGTGCTAAAATTTCTTCATTTTCCTTGTTAAGAATCAGAGGTGCTAGGTTCAAATCCTTTTTAGTCTGAAATCTGTATGCTAGATATTGAGAAAGGTGGTTTTATTGTTTTTTGTCACTTTGAATAATATTTCTGTTCATGTTATAAACAAAATCAACTCTCTGTATAAATATATCAGGTGACCGTTAAGGCCCATGGGCCTCTTGTTATGTTGTATTATCTGTATTAGAATGGTCTATTTTTTATGGTATCGCCTTGATTTGACCGGTTAACGTTTTGCCTGTATTTCCTAAATCTGAATGACCTACATTGATTGTATTACAGATATACTTGAGTTTGACCTTTCTTCATTTTTACTGTATTTTCATAATATGAGCGATTGTATTGTCTGAATTAGATTAGCCTACATTATGATTGTGTTGCCAGAGTAAGCATGGTCCATTTTCCTGCTGTACATACATTACCGTCACAGAGACAACGTGGAAAACACTAAACTAATGGCGCTGTCATATACATGTATAACAAGTAAAATACCTTATTGCATTGGTATTATCTTCGTCGAGAAAAACGAATTCAGTCTGTGCTCGATTTCAGTCATTATATTTTATTAACATATGAAGCCATATTTATTCAATTTACAGGTTGCCTTCCACTCCAGTAGTGAAGATCAGTAGAGGTAAGACTAGTTCACCAAACCAATAGATAATTGGTTTAATATTTAAGGATTTTCACGTGGGACACACCATTATCATTTTCAAACGCGGCCCACATGACGTCATCGGTGTGTATCCCGATTGCCTGGGAACTTCCGGTGTCTGTGAGTATCGTCCGGATGTGGTTTCCTTCGCCAGTGATTAGATCGAGGGTGTTGCTGGTAAAATCTCCTATCAACAGATAACCTTTGTCGTCATATTTAACGTCAAATGGATCAAAGAAAGCCGACTCTTCTGTTTTCAATGTTTCACATTCTCCCGTATAGCGGAATTTCACTGATAGGGCGTTGTCAAGTACAACTACATGGCCGTTGTTTTGACCATCGCTATGTGCCGCGGTCTTTTCCAGGAAGGCAATATTTCCAGTTAGTGGACACTGTGTGAGACGTGTTGGACGAATAACTCCTGATGCCTCGGTGTCAGTCGCCATTACCACTTGACCATCAGTGTTATATAACGTTATTTTGTTTTCCGCCCCCACCAAAATTTGCTCTCTGTCCGTTACACAGATACAACGCGGCCAAGATTCTGTAGTGAAGCGATGCATGCGCGTGTCTGTATCAGGATCCAACTCTACAACGCGGCATTTCCACGTGCAGTACCACAGGTGCTGTGTTTTTGGCGACATGCTGATATCATTCACATTAGCCTTACACGTCACTGTCTTGATGACATCACCCGCATTGCCAACCAGTGTAAGAACGCGCGACTCCTCGTCACATGTCCACGCGTGACCTTCAGAAGTCAGACAAATGGACGTGATTGCGGAGGGCGATGGGAATTGCGACAAAATGACAGGTTGGTGGACTGGTCTTTTTGATAAAGCCTTACGCGTACGTTCCGGCTTTGGTGGCGTTACCTTGGCGGATTCGTGTTCATGATCAGAGGCAGGAATCGGTTGGTCAGGAAACAGTGATTGCACTTTGGTGATCTGTATTTCATCGCTGTGTGAAGATACATGGTTGATTTGTGGTTCGATGTCCTGTGAAGATACTTCAATACACTGCTCTTTAGGTTCCTGTGAGAAAGAGCCGTTGGGTTTGGGATCACGTGATGAAGACAGGATGGCCTGCAGAAGTGAGGGAGAAGGAGGATTGCCGGACGGAGGCTCAGGTGATTGTTCTGAGGGCAAACTCATCGATCGGCGGTCATGTCGCCTAGATACAGACACAGACACGTGCGTCTCTGGTCTTTGTGTTGAAGATCTGACAGTAATCATTGGGCGGATATCGGAAGACGTAGATGGACGAGCGGAAAGAAACCGATGGATGGACGAAGGAGCTTCTAGAGAGTTCCTCCTTTTAAATATAACGGTTCGTGGCTGTGGACGTTGATGGGGTCTGTTGGGGGGACCTGACGACTTCCCCCTCACTCTCTCGGATGCTGGTCGTGGTGGATGGTGGCCGGATCTAAGTACACCAGATCGTTGTGATTTCGGCCGCGTGGATGAGGTATTATCGTTGGACGGATCCTGATGTAGAACTACCCAATCTGTGGACTCAAGCGTGTTTTTTCTGTCAGCGGGTGGTGACGGTTTATGCGTTAGTCTTTCGTGGATGTCGTTAGATACCTGGCGTTCTTGGTGCAAGTTAGGACGGCAGTGGTTTGTTGATGATTGCTGAATGTCAAACGAGGTGTCTAATTGACCCAGGGCTTGTTTCAGGAGGTCCGTGACAACCTTGCAAGGACTAAATCTTGCTGTATGTAGAGAAGGCCATTTGGCCGTTTCGTAGCTAGGCCTTTTATACAGAGCATCAAACATGGTGATGCTACACCCGGTTTGCATGATCTGATGTCGATTTTTGATCTGTTCCGTCAAGTCTCGCAATCGCGCCTGGTGTTCCGTCTTGTACCTCATCAACAGATCCGTGTTTTCCTTTCCTAACTTGTCACATACAGAGACGTACTCGTCGATCATATCGTCTATTTCGTCTTTGCACTTGTTCCCCTGAGATTTCATCTGACAGACGACCTCTTTGATACGTGTTTTGTTGTCTATCAGCTTCTCCTCCGTCAGGTCGATAGAGCGTTGTACATTTGGGAGCTGTTCACTCTCCATGGAGGTGATAGAAAGTTCAAGTTTACTTTTAATGCTGGGCATAGCATCCGACAACTCCTCCATGATATGGCCACTGTGAAGTGACGTCACACACTTTCCACAAATTAAGTCATTACAGTCATAACACACAAAACTAACTGTTTTCTGTGAATGTACTGCACATCTCGAATCTCCTTGTGGTCGTAGTGGACTGCTGTCGGCAGACTGCTCGTTTGTTTCCATACTACAAATATAAGTGAGAAAACAGATAACCAATATCACCTGTCGGCCAGAGCCGTTGACGTACATCAAAGTGTGGTTATATAAACATTGTGCTTATGACAATCAATATATATTACAGTCAAAATGTGGGTAACATGTGAATACACATCCTGGTTCCTTGTTCAAAACGGAGATTATGTTTCTACAAGAATGTGTTCTAAGTTAGCCTTGTTTTTATAGCAAGGACTATAACATTACAACTACACACAGGTACGTAGCTATAGCGAGGACTATAACATTACAACTACACACAGGTCACTAAGTATAGCCAGGGCTATAACATTACAACTATACACAGGTATCTAGCTATAGCCAGGACTATAACATTACATCTACATATATGTCCCTAGCTATAGAAAGGATTATAACATTAAAACTACACACAGTTCCCTAGCTATAGAAAGGTCTATAACATTACAACTACACACAGGTCCCTAGCTATGGAGAGGACTATAACATTACAACTACACACGGGTCCCTAGCTATGGCGAGGACTATAACATTACAACTACACACAGGTCCCTAGCTATGGCGAGGACTATAACATTACAACTACACACAGGTCCCTAGCGATAGCCAGGACTATAACATTACAACTACACACAGGTCCCTAGCTATAGCCAGGACTAAAACATCACAACTACTACACACAGGTATCTAGCCATAACCAGGACTATAACATTACAACTACACACAGGTCCCTAGCTATAGACAGGACTATAACATTACAACTACACACAGTTACGTATCTTTAGCTAGGACTATAACATTACAACTACACACGGGCCCCTAAGTATAGCGAGGACTATAACATTACAGCTACACACACGTCCCTAGCTATAGCCAGGACTATACCATTACAACTACACACAGGTCTCTAGCTATAGCCAGGACTATAACATTAGAACTACACACAGGTCCCTAGCTATAGCAAGGACTATAACATTACAACTACACACATGTCTCTAGCTATAGCCAGGACTATAACACTACAACTACACACGGGTCCCTAAGTATAGCCAGGGCTATAACATTACAACTACACACATGAATTTGGCTATAGCCAAGACTACAGCGATACAACTTTACCCAGATCATTAGATATAGCCAGGGCTATAACATTACAACTACACATATGATTTTGGCTAAAGCCAAGACTATAACGATACAACTTTACCCAGATCATTAGCTATAGCCAGGGCTATAACATTACAACTACACACGGGTCCCTAGCTATGGAGAGGACTATAACATTACAACTACACACAGTTCCCTAGCTATAGACAGGACTATAACATTACAACTACACACAGGCCCCTAGCTATAGCCAGGACTAAAACATCACAACACTACACACAGGTATCTAGCCATAACAAGGACTATAACATTACAACTACACACATGAATTTGGCTATAGCCAAGACTACAGCGATACAACTTTACCCAGATCATTAGATATAGCCAGGGCTATAACATTACAACTACACACGGGCCCCTAAGTATAGCGAGGACTATAACATTACAGCTACACACACGTCCTAGCTATAGCCAGGACTATAACATTACCACTACACACAGGTCTCTAGCTATAGCCAGGACTATAACACTACAACTACACACGGGTCCCTAAGTATAGCCAGGGCTATAACAATACAACTACACACGGGTCCCTAAGTATAGCCAGGGCTATAACATTACAACTACACACATGAATTTGGCTATATCCAAGACTACAACGATACAACTTTACCCAGATCATTAGATATAGCCAGGGCTATAACATTACAACTACACACGGGTCCCTAAGTATAGCCAGGGCTATAACATTACAACTACACACATGAATTTGGCTATAGCCAAGACTACAACGATACAGCTTTACCCAGATCATTAGCTATAGCCAGGGCTATAACATTACAACTACCGTACACACATGATTTTGGCTATAGCCAAGACTACAACGATACAACTTTACCCAGATCATTAGCTATAGCCAGGGCTATCACTAAACTACACGCTTCAGTTAGGAATGTTATACTTCAACTACACCAGCTTACTGGTTATACATAGGACTGTCACGATACAAGCCACCCACGTCCGAACAATTATAACAGTAGAACACAATAACTCACCTCTGATGTATATAGTGGTAATCACTTCCGTCGTGTTGTGTTGCCGTGACAACAGGACGCCACAGTGTCAGCTGTCACTCACAGCCGGTGTCACCAAGAATAAGTATTTATAGAACTACCCGAGCAGGATAACTACGAGTATGTGTCACATTGCATGGAATAGGCTTCCCGTCGAACATTGTCGTGGTCGTTAGCTACAGTGGACTCTGGTGTTCTTTGTAGAGAGTATACGTACCCCGTGTTCATTACGATTGGTACTTTGGGATCACCATCCCCCTTGCTCCAATATTATGGCGTTGCATGGTTGCGATTATTACAACATGACACAGACTACATATTACCCCGCACCTACAGTATATTATAAACTATTTGCTGTAGTGATATTGACTCTGCAAACACATACATCGGTTATATTACCGCCCACACATCCAGAATGTAGACCGCACAACAAGTAGATAAATAGAGAACGAAACAGAGGGAGAACGAGACAAACAATGGCTATAGGTTATACACTCAGCAACATTGACTGCTAACACCTTGAAATAAAGTGCATCGTTTACGATATTGTGTTGAACAATTTCCTGTATCCCATACTTAAGCTAACCGTACTTTGACCAAGCTATCACAGATATCGTCGATCTACAACTCCCACACAGCACCAAGCTTTGATCGCTAGCGACGCTGTCATGTCAATCCATGAGAGTCCATTACCAATATCTATATCTGTTGATGACGAACGATAACTGCTTTTTTAAAAACACACAAAATAGTGAAGGCATCACGGGCTTATTGACATTATTTAATGAATTATAACAAAGTCCTGTATTGGAATAAAAGCTAACTAGTCTAGTCCAGGTTATTACAATCAATTGGCCAGGTAGTGCAGATTATATACATAATTTAAGTGTTTTGTTAAAAGTCTCGGTCTATTGCAGCTTAGGTTGTCGACGGACACGGGCGGTTAGACATAAGTAACAGGTATAAACAGGTATTCACAGGTACACAAAACAAATACTCTTTCTTTAAATGGCGAAGCAATATAACCTTTATTTAGCATATCACGGTATAGCTAGGTCAAATATAATGCCCCATATCAATGAACTTGTTGTTTAAACAAAGCTATATATCTGTTTGACTACCGATACTCAACTACATGGTCTTAATACCTTATAAAATAGTGTAGCGAGGAAGTTCAATTGGTTAGGGCTTCCGTCTAAAATTCGGATGGTCCCGGGTACGAATGCGGTTTGTCGTGCATAAATGATGTACACTTGGCAATGGGATATCTGACTGGGTTGTACATAGAGTTGTCTTTGGGGGCGAAAACTTAGAAAAGGGAGAGAGGATGTAGCGAAAACGTAGAAAAGGGAGAGAGGATGTGGCGAAAACTTAGAAAAGGGAGAGAGGATGTAGCGAAAACTTAGAAAAGGGAGAGAGGATGTGGCGAAAACTTAGAAAAGGGAGAGAGGATGTAGCGATAACTTAGAAAAGGGAGAGAGGATGTAGCGAAATTGGACTGTTTCGTTCATCGGCGACCTTTTATCTTAATTGGTTAGATCGTCCGCTTAGAGTTCGAAGGGTCCCGGGTTCGAACCCCGGTCTGGTCGTGCATTTCTCTTTTTTCTTGTTATAGCAGTAATAACCGACTTCGAGCAGGAGACGTATAGGTAGACAACACAGACTGATTCATCAATCTAAACATCCTCAACTGTCCATCAAAGACCGAGGGAACAATCAAACTGATCATTAGAAACTATCCATCTTAGGATAGAATAATCACAGACTGTGGGAACAATCACAATGGACGTTCTAACTGTCCAACCTAGGAATTTCTTTTCTCAACCGTCTAAACTATCCATCTTAGGATTTTCAGTTTAAAATATTCATAATTGTGTATCACAGACTGTTGGACCAACTATGGAATTTCTGTCTCAACCTTCTTCATCACATGATACCATCTGACTGGACCATCTAAAGTGTTCATCTTAGAGAATCATCAGATAGGACCTTCCTAACATCTTAGACTGATACATACGTTGCTTTGATTTTCGACACCAGCTTGTACCACAGTAAATACTTGAATCATACCCATACATAGTGTTCACAACAGAGTTTATCCAAATCTGTCAAAAACACAGGTGCTTGACACACTAATAATAATTTGATGTGTATATACTATAAAATAGTATAGTTTACACATCATATTACTATTAGTGTGTCCAGCACCTGTGGTCAAAAGAGCAACTTGCAGTCCAACAATTTTTCAATTTTCTAAGCTATAATCAGTACGCCTCTATCTCTTGTTCTAGGATGCAATTTTTTACTATTCTTAGGCATAAATCTATTTGATGTAATATAAAGGAGGGGAAAGAATTGTATTTGTCACAAACGACGCAACCATAAACTTACCCATGGAACTTATCCTAAAATAATCTGCGATAGCAAAATTGTAAACAATGACGTGGTAGAGGCATCCCTGGTAGAGGTGACCTAACTTAAAGTCGATCAGAAATATTATGACAAAAATTGATAAATGGTATCATCACTAAATATCGTAACAATTTTATAATCACAGCCCTTAGTGCCTGTGTCCTTCCACGCTAAGGGTACAGCGTTTCTACACTCATTACATGCCATGCTATTTTAGCAACCCATATGACTGCTTTCTAACCTTAATATGTCTACCTTGCACACTTTGCAGCGATAGTCGACATGCACGCCAACATGTATCCTACACGTGCTGTCGTCATTGTAAAGTGCAGCTATATCAGACTGGCAACACAACAGGGAACTTGCGGTAATCATTGAAAACCTTGGCATGGCCGGGAAAATAATAGAGAGAAGGGACTAGGAGCGAACTCATGAAAACTTACTGCGAGCAGGGCACATCAAATAACAGGGGGAAGTCCTATGCTAGGACAGGAAGGAGTTCCTATACACAGCAGCAACACCAATAGTCTGATATTTTTCAGCGATTGAATGAAAGGGAGATAGTAAACGATAGTACGGGGTTTTCTTTTGACTGACAAATCCTACCGAGGTTTGACTGATCCATGCATTTTGGAAAGTGCTCTTGCTAGTCAAGGGGAGACCTTATGAAGGTCTTGACATACAGCAAAAGAGAAAACAAAGTATAGCAAGCCAAACTAAAGGAGGTTTATATCAACTTTAAAATATCACTGAAAATTAGGCAGGTGCTGCAACACACTTCCTTGTACGATCTGGTTTACCACAATTGAGTGTTTTATAGACAAAATGGAAACCATCACCAGATCGGTTTGCCTTTACATCACTCAGATACGACTCTATCGCCGAAACTGGTCATTGAATTACAGCTCTTCTGCCACACGCTGTATCAGGCCCAAGTAATCTAGCAGCCACGAAAACTGACGACAATCAACACTTGCCGTAGTACAAACAGGTGTTCTGAATAGATAACCCAATTGTCAAAAATATTTCGTTTCGGAAGCCGTCCTGTCGAAATGGAAAAGGCCTGTATAATCTGCACAGATCATGTGCTTGAATTGGGTATAGATATCATACTCATGATCCTATTCAGTAATCCGATGTCTCATATTTAGGCATTTCCTAAACAAGATGATCACTCTGTCATTACGTCTGCCATGTAGAGCATTGCGAGGGATTTTGTAACATTGTTTATCACATCTACAATCTACCTTACAAGGCTTGTGTTACCGACAGAATATCTGTGTCCCAGAAAGTCATTAAGTCGCCGATCGACAGCGACAAATTCAGACTAGTCTTTTTACTGGGCAGATCGTTTATCGCATTACACACAGATAACTAGAAAAGTAAGTATAGGCCATTAGGAGAACACAAGAGCAGGTTGATCAGGATAAATCGTGAATATCACCACACGACAAGTGTTCGCTTCTGTCGAAAAGTTTTTCGTTCAAAAATTCATTGCTTCGTACCTCTAACAGTAATTTATACCAGCATATTGTTGAAAGCTGAAGGACTATCAGTCCCCTGGTTGGACACAACCTTGCCTCTAGAATTCAAACTGGCATGATTTACTTTAGCCAAAATTTGTAATTTCGGAACAATTTTGATCAATTTTGATATGTATTTCCATTGATCTTGGTATCACTGATGGGTCCTAAATGAAGGGAATGACCAATGATGCAATAAATGTTTACTTTGTAGGACTTTCCACCTCAAAGAAAGTTAAAAGATTAAAGTGCTACCTTATTTTGTCTTTCTATTGATTATTTCACACAAGGTGGTTGAAAGCTGGTGGATCATTAGTCTCCAGGTTGGACATGTTCTGGCACAGTTCATGTGAAATAATATTTGAAGAGTAATTTACATACTGTAGCCAAACATGGCTACTTGTTTTTACCCTATATATCTATACTCGTATACAATTATGATCATTTGGGATGTCATTTTTACCAAAAGTCGATCTTAAGCCTTAAAACATGTAAAACTGATCTGAACTCCTTAGTTTAGGTCCAAATATAGCTGTAACAAATTCTCAAGTCCCTGTGATTGGTACCACTTAAGAGGCCTATCCACTTTCTTTGGTTTTTCCACATCAACAAACTTCCTTCTTCAATACGAGCCTTCCTTACCTGTATTTCTAGTCATTATAGGTTCAGATTATTGCGTTTGTAAGTATGTTGAATGAGATGGGAGTCTCAGGGTATTGTTGGGTCAAACTTTTGTATTACACTGGTGTACAACACCCGTCTCATACCTAATTGGATTATATTACCGTGACACTGAAAATTCTGTTTGGTGCTTCATACAACATACAACAAATCTAATATTGTAGAGTATTTTATTCTCTGTAATAAATTGTTAAGTTATATATAATATAATATATTACAATAATACATATTTAATAATGTGTAATGAACAATAATATTGAAATAATGAATAACTATTAAACTCTGACCTTGTCAATGAATCTCAAAGCAATGAACAATAATTGAATCCTACCAGATTACCTCCTTTTCTATTAGGAAAACATCCTTTGGTATCAGCCCCTTTTATTACCAGATTACCTCCCTTTATTATTATTAGAATCAACATTATAATACCAAGAAAAAAAATCTTGAGTTGGCACTACCTGAAATACAGGATGGGATGCTTGCAAAAATACAAACATCTGTGACAAATCCAAACGATGAAACCACCGGGAAAACAAATCCTAGAACTAGCATCACTGGGAAATATAATCCCACAGATGGCACCACCAGGGAAACAAATGAAATCCTCTAGCTGGCAATAACAGGGAAACCTATTCTAGAGCTGGCATTACAAGGGAAACAAAAGTTGAAGTTTGCGAAAATAGAAACTTTTGTCTTACAAATACTACAGCTAGCACCATAAGGGAAACATATTCTAGACCTGACACAAACAAAAACATATTTAACACTTGTCAAAATACAAATTTCTTATCAGGGATTTGTCTTTTTGGCGGTTCTTAGCAACTCTGTGACGGTTTTCTTTGTATCTTTGATGAGACCAAGTCCTCCGAAAGACAGAATTTTGGTGAGCTCTCATGTTACATAGCGTAAAAAAAAATCTAAAACCTTTTTATCATTTCGCAATTATCATTCAACACATTTCTTTATTATCAGTTTTGGAAAAGGTAGTTAAGGGAGGTAATCCAGGAGTGGCTCAATAAAACTTACAAGGCTAAAATGAATTAATGACCCAAGAATTCTATATTCAGTTATTGCATGGTTATTTCCCTTTGATACTGATCAAAGTCAGTGAGTTTCAGCGTTGTCGATATCTCTCAACAGCTTTACTAGATTGATGTATCTTATACACACATACCATACCTCACAACCAGTATCTTATACACACTTTGCCTAAAAAGCTGACATTTGTGTCTTAAAACAGTAATTCTTAACAGAATATATTTCTGTAAGTCACTATTTTTGTATTTGTCCCCAGTGATGAAGTGCTTGCTGACACCCAGTAATTTGTATTCATCCCGAGTGTTTAAGTGCTTGCTGACACCCAGTAATTTGTATTTGTCACGAGTGTTTAAGTGCTTGCTCACACCCAGTAATTGGTATTTGTCCCCAGTATGTAAGAGTTTACTGACACCCAGTAATGACATTTCTCTTATTTCCCTTTCACACAATGCTACTTTGCATAAACACTGACTTGTTGAATATAGTATGAAATATAACTTAAATCAATTTACGAGAAAGCTAGGTTTAAAGGGACTTTATACATGTAGATTGTTCATTAATACTTAAAGGGATAATTTTACAACATATTGTAAATAAAAGATAAGTAAGTTGGTCCATATTGTTTTTTATCAGTTTGTTTCAAGCACGGGTGTTTCCTTTATTTTATTTCAGGATTAGTCACGTTATATATGAACAGGAAATATCAATAGACATTAACTGACTCAAAATCACAGATCCCTTAAACCTTTATAATTACAGAATGGTTTGTAAATGTAAACTCCTGAAAGAAAAAATACCAATGTCATAAAGTTCATTGTGAGCAAATATCAGACGTGTATATATGACAAGGCCTCCTTGACCAGTGGAGATTAAGAGGACCTCTACGCAGCTCATGTCTGTGGAATGTAGCCGTAAATCCCTGGAATGTCTTACAGATGTTGTTTAGGAGAAGTGTTTGCTAAAAATATATTTTTGCTATAATATTTTTTTATTTCCCATTCTTTGGGTAATGTTTTGTTTTGCAAGTCATTAGCAACAATTTCTGAATATCTGTCTAGCATGTTTTTATTTAAGCAGTTTCTCCGATATCTTCGAGCAGTATTTTGGAAATTGATACTTTATATATAGATGTGTATTAATGATATGATTCTAATTAAAAAATATTCTAAAATACTTGGGATCTGGTCTGTAATGAAATTGTTGTATCCAAACATCTGTGACATAATGAAGTGGCAGAGAGAAAAGAGGCTATACAACCTGATTGGTTGTCTATCAATTGTTAAACACCTTTTAAAACTGAACTTTGGCTACAGTACAAATGATCCAGCTGTTATCAACATTTAAACAGCAATAACTGCCAAATGTATTCCGAGTCTTTAGTATGTTTGGAGTGTACTTGGTTAGATATACTCTGATTAAGGGTATCGGTGAATGTGGAAAACAATGAACATAAGTGGCTATAATGCTTTTTATCACAGTCTATATATAGTAACAGAATCCCATTGGTCATAAGCTTTAACACAATAACATGTGGTTAACATGAACTCTGGTCATGATCCCTAACAACAATACTACGTACAAAAATAACATCCTATTAAGTTTAAACATTGAGATTATGCATCAGTTTTTCAGTAATACAACAAAGTTATGCTTCATTTTTGTTCTAATGATTTCAATGTTTTCAGTAGGTTGCTAAGTAGAGTTGCTAGGTTGGTTGCCTGGCGCATGAGATATCGCATGTGAGGGTCACCTAGAGGTTTACCTACAGCTGCATGAGCTGCGTTCACTGTACTCTTGTAAGCGTTGGTGACCTTAATAACCTCAAAACCAAGGTGCTGTGCTTGATGTACTGCTTCCATCATCAGCATGGTCGCTTGGCAATGAAGGAACATTTTAGCAAGGGTGTGCATACTTTTGTTGAGATTTTTGGCCATTTTGTCTCGTGTCTGAGTTGCATTACTGACCAAAAGCTTGGCATCTGTCACAAATAATTTTACTTGACCTATCAATTCATCCTTACACATCCCAAACTGCATTGGTTGGCGGTCAATGCGGGATTCCTTCAGAGTCTCCATCGTCTGTTTCAATTCTGACAAGAGTTTGTCTGAGTCCTCGTTGGCACATGCGAAACTTTCTACACTGTATGTCCGTTTGAGAATGTGTTTAACACTGTCTGAATGATTTTTACTGACCTTGTCACGTAATAAAGCAAAACATTCCTCAGACAGGGAGTCTTTACCATCTCCATTTATAGAAGATGTTGGGGAGGATGATAATGAGGACGAAACAGATGATGACACTGAAGGGGCAGGGTTAGATTTACGGGGAGGTCGTAACGGGGAAGAGACTGGGACTGGGACAGGGGCTTGTTTTACTTTGGTGGAAGTACGCTTGATGGAAGACTTCCCTGAGGATAAGTCTCGGAGAAGGTCAAAGTTGTTGTAGGTATGGGTTTCAGGCTCGTCCGACGAGGAACTACTGCGCGACATAGACATTGGGCGCCACATGCTGCCCACTGTCCCAAACGGACTCACTTTCAGGTCCTTCTTGGCCTGCGATGTTTCAGTCACTGACAGAGATAAATCATCCTTGGTAGTGATCTCCACTGGGTCGGATTTGTTGTAAAGTGACAGACGGAGGGGCTCCAATGGTCGTCGCTCATCAGAGCTAGAGATCTGTCCATCCGAAGCGGTCAGAAGAGCTTTCATTGGTCCCGTCTTCTTACTGCCCTTCTGAAAAACGGACAAAATAAAAGTTTATTTTCATATTTTATTTAGCAACAAATCTCTTTTTAAATTTGTAAGTACATTTGTATAATGTTTGATGAAGGTTTAATGTGAAATCAATTGTAAAAATTACACTTACAGGATTAATACCAAATACTAATGTGATTTATTATCGGAACTAGCTGAAGCTAGAACATTGACCAATCTGGAAGGGCCCCTTGGAGTACATGTCACAAACCAGCACCACATGCATAGTACACCCATCAAACTAGGTTAGTTGATATGTCTCCCTTACAAGAGTTAACTTTTTTTTTGAAATTTAAATTCTTAATTGTTGACGGATCTAGCTACATTTAATTATTGTGTGGAAACCTTTGGTCATCAGAGCAATGTATATTTATTTATCCTGAACAGATTTTACTCAAATTCTAATTTTTATATATTGTAGATGATTGATTTTTCCCCCAGAATACCAGATAATATTGAAGCAAATAATTTTGTGAAAATGAAAAAATGGACAAACAAGACCAATGAAGTGACCTAATTCGATAATGGAGATAATTAAGGGCACAGCCAAAAAAGATCAAATGGGGCAGACCATGAATGGTAAACATGATGAATATGTAGAACTCTATAGAAATATTATCATATGGGAAGGACACCTTACAAATGATCACTATAAGGTGGACTGTAAAGGATACCTTACAAATGATCACTATAAGGTGGACTGTAAAGGATACCTTACAACTTACATACAGTTACTGTAACAAGACACAATCGTCAAATCTCAGGTTAGTCATATTAATATCCCCAAAAAAGCGTGAGTGGATCGCCAAACACTAGTAACTTTAAGCGTGAAATCGCAATCAAATCAAAGTTTGTATATTATAACTGTAGCTCTCCACTTCATTCAAGGTCAATAATTGTTAAATTTTATAAAGCTATATTACAATTCACAAAAAACACCTGTTATTATGATATAGTATATATAAATATATAAACATCTACATAAGGAAACTCATATTTCCATCAACCCTTTTGTCATGCTGTAAGTCATAATTATGTGAATTGACTAGCTGTGTGACATTTTAATGAACATATCAAATGTGTGACATTCAATGGTACAAACTAGCTGAGTGACTATGGACTGTGTGATCTATACTGTAGGTAAAGGTATGGACTGTGTGATCTATACTGTAGGTAAAGGTATGGACTGTGTGATCTATACTGTAGGTAAAGGTATGGACTGTGTGATCTATACTGTAGGTAAAGGTATGGACTGTGTGATCTATACTGTAGGTAAAGGTATGGACTGTGTGATCTATACTGTAGGTAAAGGTATGGACTGTGTGATCTATACTGTAGGTAAAGGTATGGACTGTGTGATCTATACTGTAGGTAAAGGTATGGACTGTGTGATCTATACTGTAGGTAAAGGTATGGACTGTGTGATCTATACTGTAGGTAAAGGTATGGACTGTGTGATCTATACTGTAGGTAAAGGTATGGACTGTGTGATCTATACTGTAGGTAAAGGTATGGACTGTGTGATCTATACTGTAGGTAAAGGTATGGACTGTGTGATCTATACTGTAGGTAAAGGTATGGACTGTGTGATCTATACTGTAGGTAAAGGTATGGACTGTGTGATCTATACTGTAGGTAAAGGTATGGACTGTGTGATCTATACTGTAGGTAAAGGTATGGACTGTGTGATCTATACTGTAGGTAAAGGTATGGACTGTGTGATCTATACTGTAGGTAAAGGTATGGACTGTGTGATCTATACTGTAGGTAAAGGTATGGACTGTGTGATCTATACTGTAGGTAAAGGTATGGACTGTGTGATCTATACTGTAGGTAAAGGTATGGACTGTGTGATCTATACTGTAGGTAAAGGTATGGACTGTGTGATCTATACTGTAGGTGAGGGTATGGACTGTGTGATCTATACTGTAGCCTGTAGGTAAAGGTATGGACTGTGTGATCTATACTGTAGGTAAAGGTATGGACCGTGTGATCTATACTGAAGGTGAGGGTATGGACTGTGTGATCTATACTGTAGGTAAAGGTATGGACTGTGTGATCTATACTGTAGGTAAAGGTATGGACTGTGTGTTCTATACTGTAGGTGATGGTATGGACTGTGTGTTCTATACTGTAGGTAAAGGTATGGACTGTGTGATCTATACTATAGGTGAGGGTATGGACTGTGTGATATATACTGTAGGTAAAGGTATGGACTGTGTGATCTGTAGGTAAAGGTATGGACTGTGTGATCTATACTGTAGGTGAGGGTATGGACTGTGTGATCTATACCGTAGGTAAAGGTATGGACTGTGAGTTCTATACTGTAGGTAAAGGGATGGACTGTGTGTTCTATACTGTAGGTGAGGGTATGGACTGTGTGTTCTATACTGTAGGTAAAGGTATGGACTGTGTGATATATACTGTAGGTAAAGGTATGGACTGTGTGATCTGTAGGTGAGGATATTGACTGTGTGATCTGTAGGTAAAGGTATGGACTGTGTGATCTATACTGAAGGTAAAGGTATGGACTGTGTGAATTGTAAGTGATGGCCTGGACTGTATGATAGATAGTTTTTGTCCCATCTTGTATATGAGACTAAGACATAATCAGAAAAATTATGAGTTTTGTACCCAGGTTTGCCTGCTCCAAAATTGTCAAGACTTTCATGTCTGCTTGATGTATAAACTAAAATGACAAGGAAGTTGTCAACTCCACAGTTATATAAATAACAAGATAAATTGATTTGTGGTTTACACCATCAATGACAACTTAAACATTCACTTATACAATGAGTAGTTTGTATGACAACCGTACACAGATCATGTTCTACACCCTTGTAATGACAAGCTGATGTCTAAGACAGAATTGGAAGCTATTTTAATTTTAACAGGTATAAAGTCATTTGAACAAGAACTTTGTAAAGTTTTCAAAGATCATACAATTGAAGAACTTTGGTCTAGTACCACTGGATAACTTGTATCCAAGTCAGTATAGCGGGGGTTTCAGCTGATCGACTGAACTACATTGTATGTATCTGATGTACGTGTATAAAGCCCTGGTACAGGCTTTAACATACATAACTCACCAGACACCTCTGGAATAGACGGAAATCCATGATACGTATTCGTGATTATCACAGTGTCGAATTGTTAACTTGCTGAAGTGACACCAACAACAGATCCTACTATTCTGACTGTACTACGGGTACTTGCATTACAGAGGTTATAGACTGTAAATTTGTATGTGTTAGAGGTAGAGATTTGTGACATGTGTTTGATGTAGAGGTCTGTGATGTAGAGGTCTGTGATGTAGAGGTCTGTGATGTAGAGGTCTGTGACATGTGTTTGATGTAGAGGTCTGTGACATGTGTTAGATGTAGAGGTCTGTGACATGTGTTTGATGTAGAGGTCTGTGATATGTGTTTGATGTAGAGGTCTGTGATATGTGTTAGATGTAGAGGTCTGTGATATGTGAGGTCTGTGACATGTGTTAGATGTAGAGGTCTGTGACATGTGTTAGATGTAGAGGTCTGTGACATGTGTT